AAGAAGAAGAAGAAGAAGAAGAAGAAGAAGAAGAAGAAGAAGAAGAAGAAGAAATTAACAATAGTTCTTCCATCAAGAACTGATGATGTCCTTTAACATCCAGGAGAAAGCACAGTTACAGGCGTCGCTACATGCAGTCATTAAAGAGAGTAAAGTGAAGTAAATAATAGCAACTGACTTGGAATGACCACATGCAACACAACTCGCATGATGATGAATAGTTTTAAGCCACTAGAGCTGGAAAGCCCCAGAGTTACTTCGGACAAAACTAGCATATTTTTTTTTCAAGTGAGAAAGCTGGCGTACTATTGTTTGCCGATTCTTACAACGGTACAAAATAGTCCTAGCTACATACGTTATTAACATTTAAAGTGGTGAATATTCATGGTGCTTAATTTTGGTTCCCCTTCAATAGTTTCTGCTTTCAGCTTCTCCTTTTACATTGCTGGTTTTGAAAATAAGGGATGGAGACGTCCCTTGTATGTTATTTCGTACGGTCGGGTTTTAAGTGAAAACATAATATTTGATTGACTTTTATCTTTTAACAATATTAACAACAATACCAACTACCACTAGAAGCACTGCTACAGTCTGCTTCTCTGCTGCTGCAGCTGCTACTACTACCACTACTACTACTACTACAGCTGCTACTACTACCACTACTACTACTACTACTACTACTACTACTACCACTACTACTACTACTACTACTACTACTACTACTACTACTACTACTACTACTATTACAACTTCTACCGCTACCTCTACCACTACCTCTACCACTACCACTACCACTACCACTACTACTACTACTACTACTACTACTACTACTACTACTACTACTACTACTACTATTACTACTACTACTACTACTGATAAAGCACTATTAACCACAACCAAACAACAACAACAATAACAATGATGACGATAATAATAATACTAATAACGTTCGTTTGCCCAGCGTTCATCTCAGCATGGCTCTTGGCACATTGCAATGTTCTATAGCAACACTAACTTAATAACGCAGCAGGGGCGGCAGTGGCAGTGAGAGAGCTGAACAAACGACCTCTCTTCGTAAACGGATTCCTGCTGCACTGTTAGTGTTAGTACACTGAGGTACACTTATCATTAATTTACTAAGGTCAAAGGTTTATTTATCTCAGTCTCATGGGATTGGGAGAGAGCATAGCGCGAGTATAGGTCAGTGCAGTGCATTAAACTGTTAAGCCGAATTGGCGGAAAAAAATAATAAAGCTGATTGTCTTTTTTTAGACTTTTTGAGACGCCCGGACGGGACGGAGAATGATAAAGGGAAAAGAATAGAGGATGGTCAGGGAATTTTTAATAAATTTTGTTTTGTTTTGTTTTGTTTTGTTTTGTTGTTTGGTTGGTTGTTGTTGTTTGTTTTGGTTGGGGGGGGGGGGGTAGGAAGGGATTAAACGACGCTCAAGACTGACAAACAGTGAATAGTGCTGTATTCAGACTTGAGTATATAGACCAGCTTGCTTGCGGGTTTTTCCACGGTACCTGACGGGACATTTGGATCATACGTTCTTAAAACGATAACATCGTATTTCAATATCAATTAGCTTATTTCAACTTTAAACGATAAGAACATTTAAAAGACACATGAAGAATCATATCAAATGCAGTTATTTTTTAAAAAGTACTTTATGCAAATGCTGTGACGTGTTAGTTTTCGATGACTGACTGGACAAATTAATTAAGTACTTTTTCTGTCCCGTTAGCTACCGTGGATTAGCCCTTGATTGTTTGACACGCTCAATAGACACAGAAATGTAAGATGGAAAAGGATGGAAAGGTCAGGATTAGAGTACAAGCAGGTTTTTAAAAAAATGAGTTATTGACATTTGTGGTCATTATTCCACCGAAATTAGGACGCTCTGCAAATATTATGTACTCACCAGTTTGGAAGTCGTTTCTGATTTTGGAGTGGCTTGTCCATCTGTGAATATATGAAATTTATTGTCAGTTACTATACACTCAGAAGCTAAACAAATTTTTTTTTACTGCTTTTTAACATGTCTTTAGAAAAACACTCATCCTTATAAAAATTACCACTGGCACAACATCAACACCCCTACCCCTCTTTACACACACAAATCGAACAACAACAGCAACATTGACACGCACATAGAAACATATATATTCTAGCAAAAACAAGAGTACTGACAACAATAATAACAACAACAGTGCTATATTGTCAGGTCAGCAGAAACAATAAAAAAACAAACCATAACACAGAATCCCCCAAAAGACAAAAGAAGAACAGCAGCAGCAACATCAACAAATCAAAACCTCAAGTAGCAACAAAAACTCCGCCTCTCGACAATAAATTCATACTAAAATAGGAAACAAATCAAACATTGACACAAATGGTTCATTATTTATTCTTGGGCTTTACTGGCAGGTCAATCATTTCCTTCTCTTATTCCCAGTCAAACTCAACACTTGACAACGTAAAGAGAGGAAAGAACACAAAACATCACATTTATTGGATGGGTCGAGGAGCTGGAATTAATTATTGAGACAGGAAAGTTAATAAAAAACTAAAAAGCAGAATTCAAGTATGAGAGTGTACGATCTTTAAAGACTATTGGCGTCACTTTTTATTACGTTATGAAATTCCATGCTTTTTTAGCCAAGATAAAATGTATTTTATAGTTAATTAAACAGCTTGTTTAATATCTGATTTAAAATGTCAGAACTGAGGAATTAGGTTCGAAAATAAACGCTCTTGGGAGCACTCATTAATAATAATTGTTTTTAAGTGTTACTAAAATTTTCTCTACTCGCAACCACCCACCCACCCAC